CGGGTTTGAAAAAAAGGAAAAAAAAAAAAAAGAAAGAAAAAAAAAAAAAAAAAAGAAGCAGACTTGGACCATTTGCGCTACTACTAGACCGGCTAGAATCCGTTAGTTGACTTCAATTTGTGTGTGATACTGTGCCCAAAATGTGTCAAAGCCACATGTGGACGAATCCAACCATCTCTTCAATGCTCTATGGTTGCTCTCCACCCTAATATGATTAAAGTAGGTTATGTTTCAGTAAACAACATGACAGTAAGTTAAGTATATGTATTTAACCACTGATAAATAAATACATGCTTGTCGATGTATTGCCCAGATGAAAAACTAGATCCGTCCATACTTTTAAAAATTTCTCTTTGTATATCAGCCAAGTGTCTTGGAGGTACTCAATCAACCGTGGATAAGTCGCGTAATCGTCCACTAAAACTCTGTAATTCCGGTCGAAATCTCCTTCACACACTGATGTTACCAAAGTTTGTCACGGACCGAGTACAAAAGCAAATCCTTGACGCCTATTATTGCCAAAACACTTTGAAGCACGACGCCCCACATTCATGTTAATGTGCCAAAGACATAATAGATGAGGCACAGTCGGAAATACATTAACTATTGTCTTTAAGAGCCCTAACTCGCGATCAGTCACGAGTGCACTAGGTAGAGTATCTGATACAATTCCAGGAGATTTGAATAATATGGATAAGGATAAGCCATATCCATAACTGCTCCAGAGGAGCAGTTTCTATTTAGTTATTAGGAAGTTAATGTTAGTTTTATATAAATAGTTTTTCCTTGTTAGTTTTTAGGGGGATTTGAATGAGTATTCTGTGTGAAATTCTGGAGCATTGTCCTCTCCATACGGACAACCTACTTGGTGGATTTTATGTTTAAGATTCTTGCATTAAATCTACTTTTGTTTTATCTTTTATTGTAGTTTTAGTGTTTATCTCTATTTCCTTAATCGGTATCTATCAGTTTGGTATCAAAGCCAGGTTTCGATCCATCATGGTTAATACTAGATCCACTGCTTCTCAACACGAATCCACGATCCCACCCACCGACCATATTAGTCAACAGTTGGCGTCCATCGCTTCCAAACTCGAAACGATTGATGCTCTGGCTGCCGATGTGGCTGTCCTCAAAGCCCAAGCCAACCAAACACGGCAAACCGACAAAGGAAAAGGGGCAGAAACGAGCCTTGGCAACCGACAACGTGAAAAATCAATTTGGGCAGATGATGAAGATGATGCAGATACTGGAATGAACAGCCACAGTAAGCCGCATTACTATCCCCGACGACCTTACACGAAAATGGATTTTCCTAGGTTTGAAGACGGAGATCCTCGAGGATGGATTCTTAAGGCGGAAAAGTATTTCCGTTACAACCAAACTCCCGAAGACTTGAAGGTAGATATCGCTTCAATGTACTTAGAAGGAGATGCGTTGGATTTGTTCGCGTGGATCAATAAAGAGCGCACTATCTTGTATTGGGATGAACTCGTGAAGGCTTTTCAAGAAAACTATGGCCCTGCAGAATTCCAAAATCCAGATGAATTTCTTTGTGGCATTCAACA